TTAATAAATTGTAGGTATGTAAATAAGATGCGAGTCTGAAAAAAGTTGAGGCGCACGTAGCTCGCTGAGGAGCGAAATAGATGCTAAGACCAGTGTTTATAGTTGCAAATTATTTGCAAACTGATATCGAGAGCTTAACTCAAACAAATTCACATTCGTGGACCGACATTCGATTGTAGGAATCAATGTTTGATTTGTTCTTTGCAGCTGAACTGTCTGCACTAGCTTCTCTCTCTCTCTCTCTCTCTCTCTCTCTCTCTCTCTCTCTCTCTCTCTTTTCTTTTCTTTTTACACCAAGCCATGACTACTCTCTTAAAATGAATCAGTGAATAATGAGTGATATCAGTTATGAATATAACACTGAGCACTTTCAGTGCTATACTTATAAATGCAAATCAATGTATATTCACTGTTTTCAGTGATGCTTGACTGATTCATTTTAAGAGAGTACTTATTTCTTTTTAAGTTCCGAAATTTTACATTAGTTCAGCTACAAAGAACAAAGATCTTTGTCGAGTGAAATAAGTACATTATCATTTTGATACAATTTGCACATATTTTCGAGCAAGTAAAAATGAGAGACACGTATTGGTTTTTTATTTTTTGCTTTCTCGCATTTTAGAGGTTACAACGACACCGTGAGAAATTTACATCATTTAAAAAAAAAAAGCCAGCATAATTGAAAGTGTGTGGATATCTTGAAAATGTGAGGTAAACGAAGAATAAATGTTACGGGCAAGTTTTATGCTGTTTCATGTTTTCCACACTTCCAACTGTGCACTTACATTTTTCAAAAATATCTCATTCTCTAACATAACACGTATCCGTATGACACTTTTGCGATACTCAAATGTGTAGAGTGTATAAAGTGTACTAAATATCACGAACGACTCTGTTATCCGAAATATTTATCTCGTACATCTCACATTCTCAGACAGAAGACATTCGTCCACGATATATCTTGCCGAGTTATCTCCAGAGCTTTGTATCAAAATATTTTTAGTCGCTCCACACATCTCCAGAAGCGATCGGTGAGGGACACGTCCACACGTTTTCTCGTGAGAGAAGTGTTTGGTAATATCTCTTTCCGAGTATATCTCTCCGATAGACGATATCAAGACATTTTTCAGGAAATAATCCTCTAATTATTTCGAGCGACGCATCTCGCGCAAGATAATCCTCTCGTCTGTTCTTCCTCCGCGTACGTCGGAACGAAGACAGAAAGGACCCGTGTCTATACGTCGAATCGATGTCGGATGTTTCGACGAGGAGCGCATTTTTCATGGCCGTTCATATCGGCGTTCATAACGACAAAATGGAAGCAGCCCAAGGCACAAAAGAATTTGTCATATTAGCTGACAGGCGCGCTCCGCGGTATCGAGTCGCTCCCATCGATATATCTCGAATATCCACCTCATCGTGATCATTAAAAAATCTCTAGTTTTGTCTCGTGGGCCGAGACAAAAAGGGAGAAGAGCAGAAGGGGAGAAAGGAGGAAGAAGAGGGAAGCGATTGCGAGCGTGTTCGGCGCAAATTTAAAATCACTTCTCTCGCGCGCTCGGCGGAATACGAAGCTGCGTGCTCGCAATGGTCGGCGTTCCCGGCGATTTTTAATAAACTTCAAAAAAAGGAGGCTCCTAGTTTGTGCGTTTGTTTATTCATAGATTTCCTCATAACTCGAAAACCGTTAGAGATATCAAGATAAAACCTTTTGTAATTTGTTCAGCATAGTTTCTATTAGAGATATGCGAACTATTCGAATCCGAATAATATGAAAATTTCGAACCGAAAAGATTCGAATACAGATTGCGCACATTAGCATTAACGAAGAACTATTAAAGACATCCAATCTTACGGGAATTAGCATAATTTGCGAAGTTTGTTATACATTAAGATTTTCCTCAAAAATATTAAAAGAAGATAATGGCTTCTAAATAAACTCTTACCGACAACTGTCGGATCGATATGTGTCGTTGCACAGCCTTTCAAGGCCGGAACTATATTCCATATACGTTTACCGATTATATATTATATATCTCTTACCTTAAAATGAATTGATATCACATGATCAATGTTCTCATACTGGAGTCACTATTTTCATGTTAAATTCAATGAATCGATTCGATTCGTGTGAAAGTTCATCGATTCGATTCGAATTCGAAATTAAAATCTGAGATTCGATTCGATATCAAAAATCTTTGATTCGCACACGGAAAAAAGGTTTGGTTGAATTAACCAACTATCTGGTCGAATATGAACGATCCAGAAATTCCGATTAAAGTAACCCGAATTCTATTTAAGTCAAAAATCTTGTTAACTTAAACAGAATTCGTGTTACTTCAATCGGAATTTCTAGATCGTTCATATTCGACCAGATATTTAGTTAATTCAACCAAATATCTTTTTTTTTGTGCACATCTCTAGTTTATATAACTTGTGTGAACTTGGCACACCATATTTAAAAATGTGACATTTGTTTTAGAGTTCTGATACTCCCTTGAAAAGTTCTAGAGCTCTATGCAACAATTTTAAATAATTCCGGTCATTCAATACCAAAAAATAGACATTTAAAGAAAGGTGCGCTACGTTCTCGCAGCACACCTAATCAGTAAAATCAACTATTTCTTTAGAACTATTGTTATATATGATATAGAACTCTAGAACTATTGTAAAACAAACCGGAACTCTAAAGAAAT